TTTATGTCTCTGTGATGTAATACGATTTATGTGATTTTGAGAAAGACAATGTTTTTACCATTTAATGAAGTAATTTATTTTTGGCTTACAATAAAATTTTATAAAGATAATGATTTTGTTAGAACTCAATGATTATCATAATTATATTTTAGATTTTTTACATTTAAAATAAGATGTTTATCATGTATTTGATTATGTTTATCTTGGTTAGTTATACGAATTCAAAAATGAAACTTTAATAAGTTGTACTTATGCACAATTTACTTGTAATATTAAATTTTAAGTAATATGCATTAATACACAATACTTAATACATAAAGAATGGTTTTTAAGAGTTTTTCAAATGCTATATAATATAGTACATATTATGTGTAGAATGGTTACCATAAAGACCGTCTTTTACTTCAAATAAAATTACCCATAATAAAAAGAAAGAGTAAATTATGTTTTTCGTCCCGTGGTTTGTTGAAAATTGTGATTTTTCCTTTGTATGGTTTAGAAATTGTGGTTTCGTCGATATAGTTTGTAATTCATTGTTATTTTTATTCTTATCATTTAAAATCTATTGTTGCTTTGGTTTATGTGGTTTACAATTTTTTATTATTTTGGTCCTTTGTACTTTGAAGGAAGGAATTAAGGAATTAGTCTAGGGATGAAAATAGTAATAAATTGTAAACCATAGGTGTTGTTTACCCATATGATTACAAGAAACAATGACATAACATTAACACAATGAAAATAGCGAATCAGTCGGCTTGTTTATTGATTCATTTTTTGGAATACAAAATATTGGGTTTGCCTTTGGCGACTGCTTCTCAATAATAAGTTGATAATACAATAATGAGTTGACCTACTCTAGAGACTAGGGACCTATGTATATACCTTGAAGATATTTACAAATTTGATCCCTCTAATTTATTACAAACAAAATATAAACCTAACATTCTCCCCCTTTTGTATTAAAGTCGCTTTAGACAAATCTTTTTCTTCTCAGGCGGTGGCCAAAATATATACTTCAAATCTGCGCATTATTCTTTGGTACTCCAGCTTCTTGTCAATCAAGTCCAAAACATTCAACATCATGTTCTTGTTATGCGGATCGAGCTTGTCTAGTCCTTTTCTTTCCAGCTCCAGCTTGTTTGACAGCTTCAATTTGATTATCTTTAAGGTTCCGTCAGAGTAGGCTGGTATCTCACTGAATCGCATGAACTTCTTTTCTTCGATGTTGTTGGAGTACACAATGCCAAACTCGGGCTGCTCTATTAACAGGAACAAGGGCAGGGACTTTATGTATTCCAAAATCTACTTCGGCTTCAACGGGTTTATCTTTGGTTGATTGCTTTTGATGCCCAACTGCAAGTGTGATACGTACCCAAGCATTATATGACGGAGCATGAAGCGCTTTATAGCTTCTAGCGCTATTTGCACGTCTTCTGGTCTGATAGTCCACTAGTGAATGTCCAGGTATATCGTCTTGTAGTCTTCAAAAGATAAATGCCTAAAGTCAGCTTCTGTGAACTTCCATTCCTTGCCGTCAGTTCTGATCATGGTGAAGACAGGGAAGCGGACGCTCATGAGTCTGTCAGTGTAGATGTTCTTAATCCCCACAATTTATGCCTTGACTTGACCATCTCGAGCGGTTGAGCCTTCGTCTTAAGCATATGCATATACTCGAAGACCTGTAAGCTGTTGAGGTAAGTGATCTAGAGAACTCAAACCGGATCTAATTCCATAATTCTTCTTATGAATACTTTGATCTCTGTATCTTCAACAAATGGAACTCTGATTCTCGTTCTTTTCCACCTCTCTACATGTGATGTAGTTAGAGTACTTGGGCTCGTAGTTCTCTAACTCGTTGGAGGTTGGGGAATCGACCGATATCTTGGAGGTGAATCTGGCAAGACACTGTTGAGATCGTTGATGTGGTCGAAATCTCCTGAGGCTGAGGCCCTTTTTCGTCGGATTCAATGTCGATAATTGGGCATGGCACCTCAGCAATGGCAGAAGACATTTGAGCACTTTGATCTTCAGCAGCCGCTGACTTTTCAACCATTGGCTTTGGTTCCACCTCGGCGGATTGCTGACGATGACCTTGACCTTGTTGTTGTTGTAACGATTCTGCATTGGGACTCGGTCTTTGGATTTGTTGGTAGATGTCATGGCCGGTGGTTCTTTGTCGTTTCTCCCCTCATGGTGTCGGGGTTGTCATCCCTGTCATCATGTCGTCGTTTTGACCCACCTGCCCAACTCTTGCATATGTCCTCAAGGATCTGAATCCTCTTGGACAAGGTCTAGAAACATGATCTGATGGTGTCTATCATATCATTGAATTGTGTAGTGAAACCTCAGAAACTGCCTCGGGCCTCGTCTTGAAATGCGTGGAACTTCGGTCTCATGACATACTCAGGTTGGGTTTATGCCCTAAACATGCCGATGAGATCAGCTTCCACTTGTCCTCCCTCATCTGCCTTGGACAACAACTTAGCGTATAAGAGAGATTTCAGCTCTTCAGTTTAGCACTCAACTGGTTGTCTAGGCTTAGGAGTAGGTGGTCGTCGTGGAGGTGGAGTTGGACTCGCGTGCTCTATGACTGATTTTCCCTTCAGTAGTCGTTTTAGTTCATCCACCTGGTTGTGCATGGAGGCTTGAACGACAGATAAGGCACCTGCCAGCACCTGCGTTATTGTTTCAGGTAAGGTAACACCAGGGGCACTGAGCCTTCCTGTTGACACGACAGTTGAATCAATTGTGTGGTCTACATTCAGTGTTGCAAAGGGTGTGGCAATGGTAGGATTTCCATCCTATCCTCGTGAAGTATCTGTATAAGATACCACTCTAGATGTTCCATTGTGTTCACGAAGAACCACTGGTTGAGCAACAGATGCTCCAATTGTATGTGTCCTAATAGTTGAATCAGGCTCTAGACTCGATGTGCATACAAACGATGTTGTAGATTGGGGCAGCGGTCTACTTATATCAATATCCACATTCTCCGAGTGAAAGGTGGATAGCACATGTGGTACATCCCCATATGATACACATGTGATATTAAATCAGAGACGCGAGTGACTTGCGATGCAATCTTGGTTGCGGGCCAAGTCGCCCTTACACCACTAAGCCCATTCATAAGTATTATCACATGTGATAAGGGCGTTGTTGATATGCTACTATAATTCATCAAGACCATCACATGTGATGCTAAATCATAGACGCGAACAACCTTTGATGTGGCCTAAGTCGTAGAATACGTCGTCTGCACATCACAGTGTCCCCTCACGCGTATTATCACATGTGATAAGAGTGTTCTCGAGTTCTCGTAAAATAGAGGTGTTCTTGTTTGAACCTCCACATACACACACACACACACTTAAAGGGTACTCGCTCAATACAACGAGATACATCTTGATTTTAATTTTTCGTTTTGTTCTGTCTCTGTCGATGTTATAATACGATTTTATGTGGTACTGAAAAAATGATGATGTTTTATTTTTGAATGAAATATAAATTTAAAGGTGTCATAAAATTTTGAAAAAAATGTATCGATTTTAGTATCAATTTTTTTAAAGTTCCTTTTTGTATAATTTCCTTAATTCAAATTTTTATTATAATTTAATTTAGATTTAACAACAAAGTTATTTATTTTTGGTTTAATAATACAATTTCTTTTATAAAGATAATGATTAGTATTTTGTTAGAATTCAATAGTTATACTAAATATATGTTAGATTTTTTATATTTAAAATGAGATGCCTATCCATTATTTGATTATATTTATTTGCAGTTAGTTACACGAATTCAAACATGAACCTTTAATAAGTTGTACATATGCATAATTTACTTGTAATCTTGAAAATTTTAAGTAATATGCATCAATAAACAATACTTCATGCATAAAAAAAAGATTTTTGATAAGGCTCCTCCTCCGAATGAAATTCAATGGGATCCAGACAATATTGATGCTAGTGACGATATCCTTGATATGGAGCTGGAACTGCTAATTCCCGAATAGGTTAACCTTTCAAACTGCTGTTGAATCCATGGGTAACAATTACGTTTCTGGTTCCATTTTTGTGGAGCATTTGCGCATAGAAGATGTAAAACAAATTTACCTAGTAGAAAAGATTTCAAAATCATCTGATTTTTAAGAGTTTTTATCAAATATTTTATAATATAATATAAATACACAAGGCCGCAAACCGGGGGACAAATGAGAGCGTATCACTTGTCCCTGACATTCACAAAATATTCATAATCATAAATAATATAAAAAGTTCACATTTATTATTCATGATGATTGAAGACACATGTCACACTCTCCTTTATCCCTGTTCACAGAAAAAAATATATATATATATATATTTGCAACAGACATTTACATGTCTTAAGTAAATAAATATATAAATCTAATCAGTGGATCACATAGACATGTATCGTGTCTTCAAACACAATCTGAATAAACCACCTACCAAATTTTGTGCCCTAATTATTGGTAAGTTATAACCTCGTTTTCATGACCAAAATAATCAAAAGCGTACGAGTTACAACCCACGCTTCCATTCAAATAATGACCAAACATTTTTAAAAAAAAATAGTTATTTAAATGAATTTTTTTTGGAAATATTCATCGACTATTAATCTGACACTACAAGCCTACTTTTATTTACAGTATCAAATTACTTCCGACCAAAATTAAGAAAAATAATTAAAAAATAAAAACAGCAAGCATATCATTTTGTAGAGGTTTTCTATAATTTTTTTTTTCTGATTTTGGTCAGAAATATCTGACACTTTTGCTTGTGGTGTCAGATTTTTGGGTCAATGGATATTTTTGAAATAAAGCATTTTTGTGGCTATTTTTAGAAAATGTACGATTAAAATGGCTATTTGAGTTAATTATCCCTTTTCAAACGCTGTTTCAGAAAAGATGTACGGGGATCATTTGGTTTAGAAAAAAAGTAACAAACAAAACTGAAATGCAATTATTTCATCCCATAAAAAGTTACAAGTTATAATCTAACATATAAATCAGGATTCAGAAATCCTTGGGAGGGTATCTAAAGTGTAATGGCCAAGTCTCCCAGTACGATACAGATTAATAAGCTTGGCAGCAACCATGCCATTGCCAGTAGTATCTCCACATGGGTTTGAAGTAACATTGAAAGCTTTTCTCAGTGCTGTAAACTGTGCTTCAATCAGTTGTACCATGTCCTTCTCATCTTCCAGATTACCTTTGAAAGCTGAGATCTCATGAAACAGAGCTCGCCGAACAGCCCGAACCACGAAATCCTGCAGCAAAGCATCGATAGTCTCTGTTATGAATAAAGAAAGGAGCACAAAATCCGACGACTTCCATTGTTGGATGTTTTCTCCCCCCCATTTACGCGGAAAATAGTACGCACACTACTCACCTGCGTATGATCGTTCACAATTTGATTCTCTCTTTTGTCAAACTCTGATCCACCAGAAGATGCTCCAAGAGACAATGCTGCTTCGTCATCATCCGTGGTGGAAATTTTTGCCCATTTCTTGTATTCATCACTGAAATTGAGTATAGAGAGAAAGTACTGAGCAAGCTCTGACTGGTCGATCAGAATGTCATCAATGGTTCCTGCATTTTAAAGAGCAAGCCTGTGAAGAAGTACACCAATAAGAAAGGATACATGAATCATGTGACATATAGGTGTCCTCCCCTCATTTCAAGGAAATAAATTTGGGCAAATTATCTATACCAGAAGAGACCGACCTAGAAATTTTTTCAAGTGGTGGCACCATTTGACTATAAGAAACAAATATAGGATATTTTTCACAAAATCATCATTGATCTGTTGGTTAATTCATTGTTTTTCATACGTGAGGTCTTGTGTTCAAGTCTTTTATTACATTTCTTTTTCAGAAACATAATAGATCTAAAATTAAACGCTAAAAACTACAAAAATGACACTAATGGGATTCGAATTCGGTCTAGGGTGGAAAAAGTCCTTGCAAACCAACTCTACCAAGGGAAAGTTGTGTCCTCATTGTAGTTTCAAAATATATAGGTGACACACAACAAACTGATCTGGTGGCACTTTTCACGACCATATAATATTTTACACTACGACAGAGGAACGAAGCGGTGCCCGTGCTACCATATGCAATATACTGGGTCCGTCTTTGTAAAACAACCCGTTCCAAATTGATAGGAGATTGGATTTCTAAGATCCTTACAAGCTCATAGTTGTAGGCTACCAATAGCTTTCACCATGGTTTCGAGAGTGATAGTAAAATGAATGAGGAAAAAATGCTTCACTGAAGGATACCAGTCAAAGCCAATTTGGCAGACAGTTCAGCATCAAGAATCTTGGGAGGCAAAATTCCGGGGGTGTCCAAGATATAAATATTAGGATGGCTTGCAATCTGAAAATTCATATTTTATAAGATCAGAAAGGAAAGTTGCAGCCTTGAATATTATTTTAACTAAATAAATTCATAGCTGCAAGAAGTGAAACCAAGTTCTAAAAGAGCATGACAACCAACAGAAACCATCATCAACCATCAAGGAGATTAGTACTGCAGTGCTGAAAATATTGGTTTTTCCTTCCTCTGTTCCAGCAAAACCATGGTGAAGAAATAATGTAAGAAAGATTATACCTTTAAACTGATGATGTTTCTTGTCTGCCCTGGCTGTGGACTCACAGTGGCGTGTTTTAACTTCCCTTTCTCTTCAAGAGAAATATATCAAATGTTAGAAGCAACCACAAACATGTTTTCTTTTAGAAGAAAGGAAAAAGAAAAACAACGAATTGCAAAGCACTCCTTGAGAATTGAAACTAGGATCCATTTAGATAAAATACATTATATTCCCAACTATGCGTGTAATGGAAACAGAAGGATCCATCAATTAAGCTTAAATTCTTAAAAGATAATTCCCGAAGAACCAACCTCCCTAAACTTGATTAGTAAAGTACCCATTGACTCATTAACATGCCATGTAAACATAAAGTTTTTCGAATTTGTATTCCCCTGTCTATCTCTGCAGCCATGCTACATTTGGTGAAATAGATGACATTATGCAGGGAGAACCAGCAGGACATGGTGTCAGCATAAACAAGAAATTTGATTGCAAATGATGCGTGAGAAAGTTGTGAAATTGCCCTGCTCTTCATGTATTCTCGAGTCTATGTAAGGGGGAGATTGGGGATTTATTGTAGATGAGACGGACACAACTAAAGAACTTTAAGAGGGATCTGGAGGGTCCAATGAAGGGTAATTGGTCATCTGGTAAATGTGAGTTCTGTTAACCAAATATGGACAGTCCACTCTATATCAACTCGAGGTGTAGATAGTAGTTGGGAGTTCTACATGGAAATTGATGGTTTCATATTGTCCAAACACCAAAGAGGTGATAAAAGGAAAATTCATTATTTGCCGATAGAAAAACACTGTTGTGGTTGTCTAATGAATTATAATTACCTGCAGCGCTGATTCTGCCTATCTGATGCAAGGAGTTCGCAAAAGCAGATTTCCCAACATTTGGAATTCCGACGAGCATTACTGTAGTGGTGTGAGTTTCACTAGAATGTGTGGACCTTCTTATGTCTCTAACTCTGGCTTGTAGAAAGTTCAGGAACTACAAGGGAATACTCTTAGCAAAAACGTTGCAAATACAAGCATATGATAGAAAACATAATGCACATATTCAAAATGACACCCAAAGAAAGAATGTGCTCCCAATCACCTCCTTGATACTGTCCTTGTTATGAGAATTGATAGCATAAGGTATGTAATTCCGCTCCTTGAAGTAAGCCATCCATTCCTAAAAGATATTGTGCTATGAATCAGCATACTGAGGTGGGAGAGCCAAAAAACTTGGTAAGAGTACATCAATCAAAGCATAACTATATACAAGGTATTCTTAATGTCTAGCAGCTTCAAAATCTGATGTTCAAATTCTTAAATCGAAGAAATTAAGAATTACTAAAGAATAGAAGTCAGGCTCTATTCAAACAGTGATACATAAGACTTATCATGGTGAAAAGGTTCCAAAGATAAGCATGATATGGCAGGTGAACTCAATCACTTAACTGACAGCTAGAAATGTGGAATATGGTAGGTTTAAAAATCAAACGTTAATTGTGCATGCAAATTTAACAATTTATGTGACATATGATTTGTAACATTCATATGTGAATCATCCAAAATCACCGTTCAAGAAAATAACCAACAATTTCAAAGGAATCTATCACCTTAGTTTTTGAGTGATTAGCGAGATCCATTTTGTTCAGTATAATAATGTTCCTTGAGGAAGATGGGAAGTATCTCAATTGTTCGTATCCTGATGACATTGGAATCTGAAAGGAATGCATGAAGTGAGTGCCTGAATGTGTATAGAGTAAACAGTGAGTACAGTATGTGCTCAAACAAAAAATCTTGACAAACATAATCTAAGACCACAAACATACCTTCAAGAAACTTCAAACAAGTTGCAGAAATTTGGGGATCAACATAGAAAAGGATCAGTAATTCAAAAGGAACATGGCCAAGATGGTTGTCTAAGACATTTTATCAAACAGTTGGTAGCCATAAAGAAAGGAGATGATTCTTACCCTTGCGTCTCTGACTTCAAGGACAAGATCGACAAGTGGGATTCGCTCAAAAATGGCACGAGATGCGGCACGCATGTGATGATTGTACCACCAACTTGAAGATTTGCTCTCCGACACTTTCTTAACTGAATTACCCAATTTTTGAACAAAACTAGCCGTTCCCACCATTTTTTCAAATCTCTGGCGATGCCCTGACGACAACGTTTAGTCTTTGTGGTCAATCTTTCATAAATGCATCTCAGATTTTTCGGTTTTGTTTCATGATCCAATTTGAATAGATCGTCTGTTTTTCATTTTAACACATGACAAAATTTAAAGCACAAAGCTTGGTTGATTTCAAAAGTTAAAATAATAGAAGGTTCCATGTTAAAATCTAAATCCTCTTGTGGCCACAGAGGTTTAAATATGATGACTTCGGTCTATCTGTAAAGCAGGTGGTGGTCTTGAGATTAGTCAGCTCGCATAGCGAGTTCAATGTCCAGATTAATCAAAAAAAATTAAGGAAATTTTATTAAAAAGGATGTTTTTTTCTACAAAAACACTTATCAACTTATTATAAGTCAAGTTTAACTTTTTAAAAAACTCCTTGTTACCGGTTTGGCACCGGTATAATTGTTTATCCAAATACTCAAAAATACTTATTATCGATACCACACCAAAATAAATCAATAAGTTATTTTTATAAGTAATCCAAGTTCTCCCTAATTAAAAGAAGTAAAATACCATAAATGAATTATTCATAAATGAAGTAAAATACTAATAGTTGGGCTTGTTAATGTCAGTGGATATTTGGGCCTGGTCTTTTTGGTCCAGTATTATCAATGCTCAATTTTTCACTAACTAGTCATCAGCCCATTAATCAAATAAGCCCATCTGACAACCCATTTATCTGGACCATATTTTGGGGTATTTTCTCAGATCTAACTTTTGATGCCTTTTTTTTTGTAGTTGTAAAAACATATTCAATAGAGAATTCATATACTTTATAAGTTTTATATTTGTAGTACTTTTGTATTTATTTCAAGACATGTTTAAATAGGTACTTTCTTTTTAAAACATACAATTGTTAAGAATCACGTCTGCTATAATGTTGATCAACTGATGTCTTAAAAGTGCTTTACAATTGTACTTGTTATCTTTGTAACTGAAGCATGTATTTGAAAACATAGCTTCAGTGATTAACCGATTTATTGGGGAATTTTTCAAAATGGTATACAAAAGTAGTTTTTGTGTAGTATAGAAATAAAGATGGTTTGGTTTGTATGTTTCACCTTATCCCACACAGGTTAAAAAAAGTGAAATAAATGTGTATATATAAGTGGTACTATATATATATATATATATATTAATTTAATAATTATGAAAAATGGTGGGGCGCCAAAAGGGTGCTACACACACTTACACATGTGGGTTACGGTTCAATAGTAACAATTTGGAGGTTGTCTTTTCACGTACAAAACCTTCTATTCATGAAGGGCCTCTTGGAACAAAATCGTCAAAGGCCTAAATGTTGCCAATTTGCCTTTACCGATGGTTGGTTCAATTCGCATCGCTTTTAAAATAAGATGTGTTTGATGCCAAGTCTAAAAAATCTGCCAAATGTGACAGTTCAATGGGTAATCACGGAATGCCTTTACATGCATGTACCTTCAATACCGAAAATAACCATCTCTTACACCCGATTATTATAAAATTTGTTGCTATAGAAAGTAAACACAAAGTATTATACAAATCCTTGTATTGCCAATAGTTCATCGAGATTATTACCGCTCATTCGATGTTAATAATTGCCCTACTCTCCGTGTTGGGATAAGTCGTGACTGCTAGTAATCAACATTTTGCTCAAATAATTGCACTACACACACTGCATCATTTTATCCTGAAAACAATTCGTCACTAATCCGTAACACGTTCTTCAATCAAACAATCGAGGCGAATTAAAGTCTTTATACATATTGTCATTCTTAGCCATCAATTTTTGAACTCAAAACAAAATACGCTATAAATTTTGTTTTTATATGTTTTATTTTCTTAGATGTACGTATAATATACTAGAGTATTAGAGTTTATAGGTTTAGCTACATTTCGAACAAAAATTACATTCTCGGAAATAAAGTTATTATTGTACAATATTTTTTAAGCTATCTTAGAAGGATATTGTTTCACACATTTTATTTCTCATTTTATAGCATAAATTGCATCACTTTTGTGTCCATTCCTAGTTCATCTCATGCATTTTCTTACCTTTTTGTATAGTTTTTTCTCTTTTTGATGCATATTACTTTGTCACGGGTATATTCACGTTTTTGTGAGTATTTTCAATGTCAAGTGTGTGGGGACTCGAGAAGAGAACGAGGGAGGAAATGCAATTGGTTTTGAAAGCAGAAAAGATGGAAAAAAGAAGTTGGCAGCTGCTTACGCCCGTGAGTGATTTAGTTGTGTGGTCACAAGCCAGAGGAATCCAAAATTTTTACAAATTTGCACTGCTAGCGCCGCGAGCATTTAAAGGGTGTACCCGTGAATGCCTAGAAAATCTAATTTTTTTTTGCTAGGGTTATTTTTGTCTTTTGGACTCGGATATTTAAGGTTTTGGTTACTTTCTTTTAGGGATTAAGCCTCCATCGTACATTTTTACCATTTTTTGATGTCTTCCTCTACATTTTAGACTAGATTTTTAGCTTAATTTGGAGATTGGAGCCTACAAACTCTGGATTTGCTGCTATTGCCATAGATTGAACTCGATTTTGGGATTGAATCTATGAATTATAGAGTAATCGGATCTCCTTCTCCCTTTAATACTTTGTTTTATTTCTTGATTCATGTTTATAGCTTAGATCTTTGAGTTTTAATAGTTGATTTTAATTTTCTGTAACTATTTGGTTCATAGATCTAGATTCTTCAAGTTTATTTTTTGAAATTGTTCAAAATAGCTTCATAACCTTGTACTTCTTTCTTTTTTGGGTTAGGGTTTATGTTTTCTAGTTTAGTTTTTTTTGGTTGATTTAATGTTCTTGGTATTCTAGATCTAGGGTTTAGTGTTTTATCTTGTCTAAATTGTTTTCTTCATGGATTAGTTCTTGATTGGTCACGTTATTGGTGTAATATCTTGTTTCCTCGATTCATATTCGTTTGATTCATAGTAATTTCATGTTCCTTTGGTTTATGTTTATTTGATTCTTAGTTTAACATGAATGTTGGTAAGGATTTGATTTATATCAATTGGTTGTTTTAAGTAACTGATTTCCTGATAAAATGGTTGTTTGATTGGCCGACTAACAAAATTTAGAAAGTTGTTAAACGATCACTAATCGGAAATTGTTGAATTTAATGGTTGAGATTTAAATGGAAATTAGGTTTTTTGACTTGGATTAACAATTGGTGATTTTTATCACATCATGAAAATAGATGTTTTGATTATTTGGAAATATCTTGTCTCGCTTAATGCTTCTTTTTAGAATTAACCAATATTGAAATAATCAAGTTTCAATTAAGAAAGAGTTTTGTCGCCTTGGAAGAGCGGCAAAAGTGACATTTTTATTTGGCAAATCCCACTTAGAAAGGTCTGAACCGATATTCAACATTTTAGATAGTTCAGTGAGAAATTTATGGGCCGTTTACCAAACATTTATTCAGGTAAGCGCTTATCAAGTCATGTTACATTACCAGATGAATATGGTAAGGACCAAAAATCTTACCCGGTAAAAGCAAAACAAGGACCATGAGTCTTACTTGGTAAGTAAGGGCGACGACTCTTACCACGGTAAACGCTTACCGGATAAATTGTTACATATGATGTCGTATTGGTGGACTAAAATCTTACCCGGTAAGTAAATAATAGTGTTAAATTTTACTGGTAAACACTTACCGGATAAGTGTTTAGTAAACGACCCTTTAATGTTTTTCAATTTGAGTTGTTAGTGTTAATTAGATTTTTCATCCGTTTCTTATTTTAGTTGTTAATCTAGTTTTATTTCCCCATTGGTTTAGTATATTTAGTCAATCTAGTTTAATTCTTAACTTCGTTATGTTTAGTGTAGCTTAAGTGATTAATTGAGTTGTTTGATATGTGGTGTTAATCCAACTTTTGAAATTTGATTGTGCATAACTAGCTAATATTGTAAGTAAATATGTGCTTATTCCCTTTGTCTCCCTGTGTTCAACCTGTATGCTACGACACCATACGCTTGCAGTTAGAAATGATTTTAAAACTCAAACAATTACAATGTTTTTTTTGAAGTATATAATATTTATATACGACAAGTAGAACAAATAAACTCACACACCCTCCTCATCTTTGGTGAGGTTTGAACTCTTGACCTCCTAAAAGGCCAAAGACTCACATACCGCTAGCCCAAAAACCATTCAGTAACAATTACAATGTTACTCTCAAATTCACTTTATTTTTTGCCAATTGATAATAATTAAAAAGTTCAAATTTGATAAATGATACTTCTTTTTGTTGCTAAAAGATAGTTTGAAGGTTTAACTAATAATTATATATTTTTTAATTAAATTACATAATAAAACAAACCTTATAGAGTTTTATAGTTTTCACAAAATGGGTATATATCATTTCTAAAAGAAAAATACATGTTTGAGTCAAGGACAAAACACTACTAAATTATGTTATAATATCATTTAAAAAGATTTTGAAAAAAATATTAATTACAAAATTAAAATTATATAATTAAACATTCTGCAAAATCTCCTTGCTATGAAGTGTGAATTACTCTAGATTGTGAAAATGGATAGTCAAAGTTGTGTGTAATTGTAGATAAGAAGGATGGACTTTGGGGCATCATATTCTTTATCATCCACACATTATATGAAAAGAAAATATCTATGTTATTACTATTGTTATATTTTTGATAAATAATGGTTTTTTTATTAACCTGGATATTCAATCTGCTATGCGAGCCGATTAATTCTAGGACGGCTACCTGCTTTGTAGATAGCCCGGAGTCACCGCATTTGAACATCCGTGACCACAAGGGGATTTTTATTCCTCATTGGATTTGAACTTGTGACCTCCTGGTACTTTTGACCTTTGGAGCCAAGTTCAAACCAATCAGACACCACCCTTGTGGTTTAAATAATGGTTTTTGGGTTAGCTTGTTTGCAACTTAACTAATCTTAGGGGCCGTTTACTAAATGCTTACCCGGTAAGT